ATGTGACCAGCTGGCTGTGGGTGCCATGTGACCAGCTGGCTGTGGGTGTCTGTGACCAGCTGGCTGTGGGTGTCTGTGACCAGCTGGCTGTGGGTGCCATGTGACCAGCTGACTCATACTCCTGCTTTCATGCCTTCCCACCAGGCTGGACTGTACCCATGGAGCCAGAATGAGCCCTTCCCCTGTAAGTTGCTTCTTTCAGGTAACTTGTCTTGATGAAGAGACAGACAAGTGATTACTCAGACTCTCAGGGTGTTGCTGTTGATAGATGGCCCTGAATTTCTCAGGGCTCAGCTTGTTATCTCTCGGCTTCCCGATGCTGTGAGAGTTGCCTGGGTTCAATAGACAGCATTGCACTTTGAATGTGAACATTTTCCCAGGCTGCAGTAGAGGTCAGATGCTCTCCTGCAGTGCTGGGCAGCAGCACCCCACAGCACCCAGTCACCTGGGACAAGATACCCAGGTGAGGGATCTGTGGTGGACGCATCAGAATGACCCCAGGGGTAGTTAAGGAGCCTCTGCCCCAGCAGAAACCTTTACCAAATTAAATCCAAGGGCACGGGAGTTGACTCAGACTGCAGGAGGAGCCCACAGGCCAGGAACCCGCCCTACCTCCAGCCCGGATATCAGCAGAACCACCCCCTCCCCCGGCACTTTCTGTCATGCTTTCCATTTTCCAGATCGTCAAACAGACACGGAGAGAGTGGTTGAAGCTCGCAGGATGAACCACGCTGGAGGGCAGGGGTGGGGTGTGGGGGTGATGTGACCCCATGATGACCTTGCTGCTCCTGCTCCACACTGGCCACCCGTGGTTCAGAGCTGTCATGGAGACATTTCTGTGGTTTGTCACTGACACTCAGTTCCCTGGTCCCTCGGAGCAGGCGCTCACGTCTAGACTATAGTACCTGTAGTTCTGCTTCCTAATAGGCTGTGGTACTATGACTGGGAAACCTGAAGGTTTTCTAGTCCCCCTGACCTCAAGGGTAACCACAAAAGGAGGTCATATGGGGGGTGTCTGAGCAATCGGGTGCCAGGCTGCCCTCCATGGCCCAGCAACAGTCCAGTTCTGAAGGGACAGATAGCGTAGACGACCATCCAGTCGCCCATATCCCATGCGCGTTGTCATCCAGGTGAAGGACCACAGGTGTATAAGCTGGAGGACTAGACATCATGTCCTGGGTGTCACAAAGGCTCCACCTGTACCACTTTTGAGAAGCCCAGGGCTGCCAATGCCTGGGGTGGGAGGACCCAGGGAACAGGTGTGCAGCTAGCCAGAGTTGTATTATTGCCTCAGTCAGGGTCACAGCATCCCAGGTCACACTAGCCTTCTGTTCCTACTGACGATCAAGTCCTATGTGGGGTTCAGACTCCTTCGCTGTGGCTCACGGCTTCCCCGAGGCCCGGCTGATATGTTTACCAAGCCTCACGAGGTCTCACACCTGCCCGGCTCCCATCATCCCCTCTCCTCTCCTCCCCTCTCCTCTCCTCCTCTCTGTCTTTCTCCCCTCTGCCCTTCAGGGTCGAGGCCTGGTGCTGACACAGGGACTCAGGCACAGCCTCTGCCTCATCCATGTTTTCCTTCACAGATGCCTTTTACTCTGACATACCCTGTGCCTCCAGTGGGGCCAGCATCTCACCTGTGTGCTGCAGCTGTCTCGAGTATCTAACCTTTAAAAGGCCAAGGCAGGATGCATGATCTCATCACGGCTGGTGTCCTCTAAGTGAGAGGAGGTGATGGCCTCTCGATAGACACGGCTGGGCAGACCCTTCAAGCAGTCCTGACTCTGACTTTTTGACTTTATTTATGTCACAGTGCCAAGGATTTTCTGGTCCCTTTTTGCCAATTATTACAGATCATCATTTGGTTCTGGTTCACCCTAGAGACTTCTGCAGTGTCGAAGCATCTGCCAGCTGCCCAACAGGATGCCCTGAACATGACATTTCTTGTTACTACACCATTATTATTATTATTATTATTGTTATTATTATTTTGGTTTTTCAAGACAGGGTTTTTATGTAGGAGGGTCATCTGTCTATGTGTTGCTTTCATTGGTTAATTAATAAAAAAAACTGCTTGGCCTGATAGGTCAGAACATAGATGGGTGGAGTAGACAGAATAGAATGCTGGGAAGAAGGCAATGAGGCAGACACCATGCTTCTCCTGCCCAAGATGGACGTGGGTTAGAATCCTCCCGGTAAGCCATGACCTCGTGGTGCTACACACATTAATAGAAATGGGTTAATTAATATGTGAGAGTTAGCCAATAAGGGGCTAATGGGCCAGGCAGTGTTTAAATTAATAAGTTTCCGTGTAATTATTTTGGGTGTAAACTAGCCAGGGATCCGGGCGGCGGGAAGCGGCCCTCCGCTCCTTTTGCAACAGGGTTTCTCTGTAACTTTGGAGCCTGTCCTGGAACTAGCTCTTTTAGCCCAGGCTGGCCTCGAACTCACAGAGATCCACCTACCTGCCTCCCGAGTGCTGGGATTAAAGGCGTGCGCCACCACC